CAATGTCATATGTGGAGACATCCCCATTTTTTGCTTGATATTAAACCCAGTATCTTGTACATACACTTTTTAGTCTTTCCCTTATGTTATTTATAACCAAGTCCAGAATTGTGGTGTTTAGCATCCCCATCTTACATCTTACCAGTATTTCTTCTGAGCTCATTTACATCCATACAGCTGTATTTATTTGTTATTGCATTGCCAAGACTATTTTTTGCCATTTTTTTTCTAAATGTAAGTTCCTAGCACTTAAATCTGAGAAGTAGAGAAAAGAAATCTCTCTCTTTATTTCCTAGTACTTCGTATATTGAAGCTCCTGCAGAAGTGGATAGGGGTATAAATTTCTTGAGATGCATGTCATCTACCAGCATCGTGTTGGACAGGTGCCACTTGTTTGGCTTTTCTTTAACCTTGGCCCTATTACTCCTTTGTGAGCCCTGGCTAATACAGATGCTTAATTCCTCATCTCTGCCTTGAGAAAAACCTTCCCTAGTAAAGGTACTCTTGAGGATCTAGAGAGTAAAGGGTTTCATGTGCTTTGTCTTCTATGAAGGCTTATACCAAGTATATGAATCCTGTTCTGCTCTGGATGCTTTGTGACCAGACACGAGGGCTTTTGTTTACTCCTTTTCCAAGGTGAACACATATTTGGCTAGGTAGCTCTCTTCTGCCCCTCTGATAATACAGCCACCGGCCGCTGTGCACATCATGGATTAGATGGTATGAATTAGTTGATTTGTAGCAGTGTATACTTTTTCTTTTCTTTGGTTGTGTTTAAGGGATTCTTCCTGTTTAGGGAAAATCTTTGAGATTTGCATAACTGAGTTGTTGGAGCTCTGGTAATGCAAAACAACCACATATCATGTACTTCATAACCAAAAGAGTTTAAAACCAACTTGCAGTATTGCTTTAAAAAAAAAGTCTTAACATGTCATAGCTGAAGTACTTCTTGTCTTCTTATGCAACTTGAAATTTAATTTTTAGTATTAAAATGCCACAAAAATGTCATTGGTGTAGCAGTAAAAACAGATTTTGCATATTTTCTGAAATGTGGAGTGTGAGACATAAGTGAGAGAATTTCTGTGAGCAGGAAAAGAAATATTTTTCTCAGTAGAGGACTGAGTGAAGAACAGAGAGGTCAATTTTAAAACCTTTCATTTTGTGTGATTACAGCCATGCTGTAAATGCCATTTCACTATAAGGAAGGACTTTAAAACATACCTTACTTCTTGATTTGTGCTGCAGGTCAGATTAACTAAAATGGTTATTGTGTCACCCTAGAGATTCTTGCTTGCTGCAAGACCAGACTTTAAACCCTATTTTTATTATTAAAAAGGCCAGAAGCAACAAAGACTATTTTACAAGTTCTGAGACGTTTTCATAGCAATTTGATCTTTATACACAGGTTTTTAGAACTCTTTGTACTGCGATTCTTAGCATATGTGAAAATCGGAAAGCGGGGAGAAGGAGTTTGAACATTCATTTACCTCTTGCCTGGAGACTGTCCCCTCTCAATGCTCTTCTTGAGGAATGAATTTTGAACAGAACATGTGTTGGACTCCTGTGTTGTGGTAGAATAGCAGCATCTTTCGGCAGATTAAGTAGGTCAAGTTGAGGGGAAACCTGCTAGTTTGTGGGTCCAGTGTATGGCATGGGTTCCTCATGCTCCTTTTGAATTGCCATTACACATTTCTATCTTCAAGAGGGAGAAAAAAAAACCCTGTGTTTCCAAGACAAAAACCTGGATATGACAGTTTCTATTTGTATCCTATTTTAGTTAGAGACACCAATATTAATACCACTGGCTCATAGAAGGGAAACAATACTACATGCAGCTTCTCTGTTATATTTTAATAAAATATATATACTACTTTTACTGTCGTTTGCTTACTGCAGTGATCTTTCTGCCCTGACTTGTGTGCTAAAAACCTGTTAAAGAAAGATTTGACTCAACATAGTTGCCTCTTGCTCTTTCCTAATCTTGTTTAGGAAAATCCGGCAGTAGTTAGCCAGCCAGTATCCTCGGGTATCCCTTGATGTTATCTGCCTGTCTTCTCCTTATCCTGTGCTTTTAACTGCTCACACAATGTTTGGACATTTAATCTCACACTTTTTAATGGAACAAAACTTGTTGAAAAGATGATTTTGCTGGCTTCAGCGGGGTAATTTGGATGTCTGCCCATATTGCTTAATGGGGATCTGTTGAGTCCATTATTGAGTGTTTAAATTCATTCGTCTTAATTATGTTCTCGGAAAAATCCCCGAGATGTCTAGAATGCAACAAGACTGTGATTTCTTGTTTTCTTTTGCTTTGAAACCCTGGTGAGATTCTGCCTGATGTCAAAAATCCGTTAACTAGTTACAAGGTGGAAAATGTATCGGGGAGAGTAGATGATGGTAACAACATGCATTTGTCTTGGGAACTGCGTGGTCAAAGATGCATGAGTTCTGTTTCTAGGAAGCACATCTTTTTCATACTGTCCACCAAGTGTCATCCCGTCCTTTGTATCGGTGGGTTTTCTGCCAGCAGTGCTCCCCAGCAGCAGTCTGTCTTGACAGTGTGCTTTGTCAACTTGAACCGCAGGGGTTAAATGGTGGTGGTGCTGCCCGGGCCCTGCCCGGCCCTCAGCCACAGCAGCATTCTGGTAGTCGGCCAAGAGACACTCAGCCCATCCCGTTCCCCCCACCCTGAGCTGATGCCAACCCAAAGCCCCCTCGGTATTTAATTCATAGCTCACTCTCTTGTCATTGATCTTTACTATGGCTGCCCATCAACATCAGCTATAAAAACAAGAAGGGGTCTTATTTCAATGTTGCTTCAAGCCAATGACCAAATGTTGGTCATTGTTGGTTGACCGTTTTTGACGTGTCTAACTGCAGTGAAGCTGGTTTGTTTGTGTTTTGTAGTGTTGAGGGAGCGGGGGTTATGTTTTCTAATGACTCCCAGGGATGGAAGCACGAGGTTAGGCTAATAAAGACTTTTGTTTTGTTTTAAGTTTAGTGGTTTTAAAAGTCCTCTTCATTTTAAGTATTATGATTCTTAAAAGTAAAGCAAACCATCTTTACCCTTCTGTTTTGGTTTTTTTTTTCTTTGCCACTGGAACCTTTTGAAATTTAATCTGCCCCCAGAGGGATACTGTGTGCATGGCTTGTTGTAAAGCCCCTTCTCTTGGCAAGAAGACTGTGGTGTACGTACTGAACTACGTTGCTAGCAGGAGAGTGAACTTCTGCAGGGATGCTCCAAGCTGCCTGGGAGTGGGGTGGCTCCAGGTGTTGGGAGGCCTGCGCAGCTGGGGCTGGAGGTCAGCACATGCCTCTACCAAAGAATCTCAGTGTTTTATTGCTCCTGATTAACCCAGGGAGTGATGAAGACATCACACAAAAATAGTTTCTAAGCCTCAGTGTTTCACAGAGTTTGTGAAGTTTCGAGATACTTTTTTGGATTTAATCTTATTTTCCCCCATCCCTGATTGGTTGCAGTGGTTCCTGAATATGATGATCAGATGATCCAAGGGCTGGAGCTCCTCTCCTATGAAGACAGGCTGAGAGTAGGGGTTGTTCAGCCTGGAGAAGAGAAGGCTCCGGGCAGACCTTAGAGCAGCCTTCCAGTACCTAAAGGGGCCGACAAGAAAGCTGGAGAGGGACTTTTTACAAGGGCATGGAGTGATAGGACAAGGGACAATGGCTTTAAACTGGAAGAGGGAAGATTTAAATTGGATATTAGGAAGAAATTCTTCCTGGTGAGGGTGGTGAGGCAGAGGAACCGGTTGCTCAGAGAAGCTGTTGGTGTCTTCTCCCTGGAAGTGTTGAAGGCCAGGTTGGATGGGGCTTTGAGCAACCTGGTCTGGTGGAAGGTGTCCCTGCCCATGGCAAAGGGGTTGGACTAGATGGTCTTTAAAGGTCACTTCCAACCCAAATCATTCTATGATTCTAATATAAAAACACATATTTAAGACTGAGATTAAAAGGGAAGTTTATCTTGCACATTTAATGCAAGTAGGCTGGCTGGAGGTAACATCAGACGATTGCAGAATGCTAGTAGTTTTTTCAAGTTTAAGGGACATAAAACCTTATAGTTTCTAAAATACTCTTGAAAGCAATACTGTATACTTTGAAAAAACAAAACCTCATTCAGAACTGAATGAATTCTGATAAATAAGGTTGTAAGTGTTTACACTGCACAGAAAAGCAAGAATAGTGTGTGTGGTAAGTGAATGATGGTATCTAGCGGCGAAGAAGTACTACTACATTTCTGTAAGCAGAAGCCTACATAGTGTTATCAAAGGTGACTTGCAAATAGTGTTGTTTTCATAACTGAAGCATTTGTCTCATCTTCAAACAACAAAAAAAAGCCCAACTGAAAAAAACACCAACCCCCTGAAAACCAGCTACTCTCAAGATATGTATGTCAAAGTCTTGCATTCCCTGATTTCTGCTGAAAAATCTTGAGCGTGTGTATAGTTTGAGTCTTACGGGGAGGATGTTCTTTTGGGAATCTTGCACTGAAATACCGTTTTTCTTTAAATAGCCTAGCTGCTGCAGTACTTGATGTGAAGCCGCCAGCATCGCTAAAGAAAGAATGAGTCTGCCTGTCTGAAGTAAAATAAGACTTGCAAAAAAACTCACCCAAAACCCACCCAACTAAAGAGCCCTCCTCCCCAAAATCCCATAGTATTTCTTCATTGTGGATTTGTCTTTATTTAAGTAGTAGCAAGTAGGGGAGTAATGCCATGTAGGTGCTACAAGCTTAGTTCTTACCAGCTGAATTTCTCTTCTCCAAGTGGGATTTCTGAGAGCTGAATTGGGCCATTAATGTTTCAAGGCTCTAAGCATGAGTGAGTATTGGAATCTGTCAAGATATCCCGAAAGACAGGAAAAGATGCTGTGAAATACGTTGTTTCAGTAGAGACTGCAGAGCTGTCTGAAGCTGCCTTAAAGAGAATAAAACCTTTAGGATACTGTATATCATAATTAATGTAGGTGTTTTCTTTTTAAATTAGATGCAGCAGTTGGAGTTAGCACAAATGCAGCAAAGAGATGCCAACCTCACAGCTTTGGCAGCCATTGGACCAAGGAAGAAGAGACCATTGGATTCATCAAACGTTGGATCTGGGCAGGAGGTATGGAGATGGCTTGCAATGACTTGCATGGTGTTGTATCTTCATACTGAATTGTTTTTATCTTTCCCTGTAGGAAGAAGTGAGAATTGTCTTACACAAAATAGATGATTACATACTGTAAGAAAACTAGTCCATGTGTTAGATACTTGAAAGCATTGTTTCTGGTAAATTCAACAGGGATGTTTTAATTGTGTGTTCTAGGAAGAACTGTGGGTAAGAGCACTGTGTATGAAGGACTGAATGAAATGATGGCTTAGAGAAACTTCTATCTGTAGTGTAGAGTAATGAAGCTGTGGTAGTCTTCCACGGCAGCTAGTTGTCACGGCCCCTCAGTTGAACTCACGATGGCTATTTTAGGTGGCTTTTGAAATGGCTCTTGCTTTGATGTTTGGCCGTGGACTTTTTTCCATGTACAATGCATAGGGGCTCTTTTCAAATATACTGTGAGTTCACCTTGGCTAGATCCCTCAAAAAAGCAATAAATAAAGCCAGACCATTCAGTTCCTGTAATGAGCCAGATCACCTTTTGTGCCTCATGCTGCATTTTAAAAGTTCCTTGAAGGTGCTTTTAAGAAATCTTGATCTGAAGAAATCTCTTAATGTTGTGCTGGAGATTAACTGTTTGCAGGACCTGGGAAACTTATGAGGCTGCAGAAATTCTTTCCAAGGGGACTGACAGCCTACTTCTGTTAGAGATCATCATCCTGACTGGAGATGGGAGAAATGTGTTGCAGGCTGTCATTCAAGCGTTGCTGCCAGTTTTGCCCCTTTCTCATGTAGCCTTGACATTGCTGAAGTGAACAGCTGATGGCCACTGACCCAAGCACAGTGAGGAGAAGCCTGGAAAGTAACTCTTGTGTGGAGGACGTGGTGGTAAAGTTGTCCTTTCTGATAAACCTTAGGTCTTTTTCATTCTTGTAGCCTAGGAAATGTAAATAGATGCTAGGATTGAAAATACTCTGGCATTTTTGCATACTGGAGTCTGGAAGGACCTCATATAAAGCTCAGTTATTTGCAACGTAACCGAGACAGTGGTGACACCTGCCCTGTAGGTTTTAGGTTTTCCCTCAGCCTGGACTGTGACAAGAGACCTCTCTAAGGAGGTGAGGTAGGCTTGTTTCTCTGATATTTTTTTTTTTTTTTTTTTTTCCCCGCTGACGTGGAGGCACAAGTAGCTCCTTGAACTCTCCCAGTTTACCGCAAGTGAAGTGAAGGGATCTGTATCTAAACAAGCTGCAGAAAGCAGCATTCCCAGCTTTTGAGCAGCTATTCTTCACTTCTTTGAAGATTTTTAATGCACTTTCACATGAAGCTGAAGGTATAGGTTTTTTTTCTTTATAATACCACTGGAAAAACTTGAAAAAATGAGTCTAGCACAAAAATAGTTTTCCCCATCCTTTTTTCCTCTTCCCCCAAGCTTCTATCAAGTAACTATTCCTGTTCTTCGTAGTGGTTTTCTGTAATTATGGCCGGATTTGTTTCTGAATATTTAACAAGTCTGCCTGTTCGGTACTTTTCAGTTATTTCTCATCCTCTGTGGCGCGTCTGCTTTATTAAAAGCTTCACGAGGTTGTGCTAAAGTGAGACAAGACAGGTAACAGTGTTGCTATTGAAAGGAGGTGATCCATTATTTACATTGCCAGTTTAAAAGAAAGTGGAGATAAGGCACCTAAAACTGACCATAAAGCTTGATAGTGTTTCATTGTCACAGATTTACCTGCTGTATTTTAAGATGCTTCTCTCATGGTTTGCCTTACCGGACTGAGTTGTCAGGGCAGTAGGCGAAAGTCATTCTGCCAGCGAAACTACTTTTGTTTCTCGCGTGCAATCCTGCATTCCAGTGCTCAGCACTTAGGCTTCGTGCTACCAGAAAGCAATTCTCTGCAGACCTTTTTTCTTTTTTGTGAAATCGTGCAGGATAGCAAACGTGAGAAGGATGTTTAGACTTAGATGTTTAAGTGTCCCAGTATATCTGAGGAGGATTTATAAAAGGCTTAAGACTTCTCATGTACAATAAAGAATGGTTTTGACAAACACTCTCTAGTTCAAGAAGCAGAACTTTGGTAATACATTCATGATAACATGGCAAAACATTCTGAGCAGTAAACAACATTCCATTCTTCAGAGATGAAAGGAGGTCTTTGAAACTGAAAGCAAGTACAATATGGCCTTAGGCTGATGCACATTTGGGCATCTTTAAAATCATCGTTTTGGGCAACCTGTCTGAGAATAATTTAAACAGGCAGGATGTACTTTCTCATTTCAAATTGCAAATACAGACAGCTTTACTCTCAAGTAATCTTAAATGTCAGAACTTCATGACTATGCAATGGCAAGGAGTAAATCTGTGCATAATACTCCTGTGACCATGTTTTTTTCCTTTTTTAAAGCCTAATATCTTGGTAGAGAGGTATGATGGAAGAAGTTATGCCTGAATGTGAATGATCCTTTGACAGTATTGAATGAAACCACTGACGCTAACTGCATTAAGCTTTTTAACTGAGACTTCAAATTCACTTGGAGATATGTTCTTTGTACGATGTTTGTATCTCTTATGTCCATGTTAGAGCAAGTTGACTCTGTTCAACTTCTTTTTATCATTGCCTGCTGCAATAATTAAAGGAAAGGAATTGTTTCAAGCCATTATTGATGTAAACTGAAGCCCCAAGGTATTTGGGGAGACAGGGAAGAAATAATCAGTTACAGTATGGACTAAAGAAGTGAAACCCTGTAAGCAAATTTGTTACCTATCTGCCATTCTTTATTCAGTACCAAAATGTAATGGGTACTGGAAGAGTGCAGCTCAGCAGACTGGGTCGCTGTGGATCTGCTGCCTTCTGTTGCAGTAACAGTAAGTGTGAAGGGCTAAAACCAGCATTTTGTTAGCATACCGTGTTTTCTTTCTCCACAAATGAGTATCTGTGTTTAACTGGGATGGTTCTTCAGCCTTAGGTATGGAGAAGAGGAGACTGAGGGGAGACCTGATTGCTCTCTACAGTGACCTGAAAGGAGGGTGTAGCCAGGTGGGGGTCGGTCTCTTCTCCCAAATAACAAGTGATAGGACAAGAGGGCATAGTCTGAAACTGCACCAGGGGAAGTTCAAGCTAGAAATGAGGAGGCATTTCTTCACAGAAGGGGTCATTGGACATTGGAATGGGCTGCCCAGGGAGGTGGTGGAGTCACCATCCCTGGAGGTGTTTAAGAAAAGACTGGACGTGGCACTCACTGCCATGGTCTAGTTGACACAGTGGTGTTAGGGCAAAGGTTGGACTCGATGATCCCAGAGGTCTCTTCCAACCAAATCGATTCTCTGATTCTGTATCTGTTTCTCCACACTCTGCTACCTGACTTTGCAACTCTTCTGCAAAGTCTTTTTCCTGCGGTAGCTGAATGCCTGATTCCTGCACAGTCATGTTACCTTGTTCCCTGAAATTCTACTTTCTTTTCTTGGTCTTTTAAGGAGATCTATTACGGATTATTTTAATCTGAGAACTAGAACGTGTGGTGACATAAGCATGTGCTTTACAGCTAGAAGCTTGCTTATCAGCAGCCACATCACCTCATAGCATGGCAGGTAACAAATAAAGAAAAGAGTGTCTGTCAACCAATTTGGACCTGAGAGCAGTATAAAAAGGGTAACCTGTGTCTTGCCCTGGCTATTGCTTGTGTATCGCTAAACTTGAAATAGCAGTAGGGGCAAATCCATGATGATCATGGAATGAAAAAATAAGACTGATACTCTCAGCCTAATTAAAAAAAAAAAAAAAGAAAAAAGGCATTTGTATAATGGGAATTCTTTTCCTCTTCTTGTTGGAAACACTCATTTGGGTAGTTTTGCGTGTTCTTTTCACTGCAGCTTAAGATTTGAATGGTATTGTTCAGAAGGAGTAATTTGAAAAAGCCTTGGTAAGAAAATCGCTCTATTGTGAAAATGTGTTAATTGGTGCTACTTGTATTCCAGAGGTGGTAATATCTTCATCTGTCCCATTCTGGTCCCTCTGGACACTTTTGGATACAATGAGGGGGAGAGGCCTTTGGATTTGATTCATATTTGGTTTCGGATTTGTGTATTTGTTACCCACCTCTTCTCCTCCCCCAGTTTGGGGGCATGTGGTGAACAGCAGTGAATTGAAGGGTGGGAAGAATTGAAAAATAACTCATCTTAAGAAAGGAGAACACTTCTAAAACAAATCAGAAAAGAGGAAACTTGAAGCCACAGACTTATTTTCCTGATTCTGTGTTCCATTTAATAGTTTTTATTGGTTGGTAACATACCCCATAATGTTTTCAATGCTGAGAAACAGTCAAGGATTTTTTTTTTTCTTGGATTAAGTTTTACTGGTTTTCTGACAACAAAGCTATTTTGAAAACAGCTTTGTCTCATTCTCACTATAACTGGAGTCTTAGAAGTTTGAAAACCCTTGCAGATATTTAAAGCTTTTTTCTGTGAGAAAACAGACTGCAGTTCTGAGTCCTTAAACTTTCTTTCCTTCTGTCCAAAGGTGTCCTGAGTCCAAGGCAATCTTTGGCCTTGAACTGAGAGCAGTATATTTGTGCGGTATCACGCAGCAGGGAGGGGAAAAAAGTCTTACATATGTTTTTAAAAGTAGAGTTAGGAGATTGGCTGTTACTGTTATGGTCAGCTTCTGAAAACTGTGATTTGATGATTCTTCTACTTTATACAGGAAAACTTGGTTGGATGCCTGCACTTCTATATAATTTTTTGGGGGATGCTGCTTGCTTCTCGTCCATTTTCTAACTCAATAATAGCACCTTACCTACTTGGAAGTGGTGCAGTCTGTCTTGCCCCAAAGTGCTGTTGGTGGCCTGTCCATCACTTGCCTTCTTCCAGATTGGTTGCATTGACTGACTCAGGGGTAAATCTTGTGTCCTTTCTTTTTCCCTGACTCAATGGCAAAGAAAATTTCCTCCTCCCAGATACTGCTTGTGGCTGT